GGGAGGAGCAGCAGGAGGGCGAGCAGGAGTAGGGCGATCCACCATCTGTTGTTGTTAAGCGGTGTGTGTGTGTGTGTGTGTGTGTGTGAGAGAGAGAGAGAGAGAGAGAGAGAGAGAGAGAGAGAGTTTTCCATGGATAGGATGAGCAACGCACCGGCCAACAGGTAAGTCTCCAACCCCGCGACTGGCGCCATGCTACTTCCATCGATAGGATGAGCACAATTGAATGAATCTTCCGCTAGAACTTCGGAATATACACTACTGCTGGCAGTGTATATTTCCATGTTCTAGCGGTAGATTCATTCGATTTTGTTCATCCTATCGATGGAAGTACCCTCTCTCTCTCTCTCTCTCTCTCTCTCTCACACACACACACACACACACACACACACACACACATCTCAAACGACCCACTCACGCCATCGTTACCTCTATCACTCCATGGCCAGGCAACCTCCATTTCATCTTGTTGTCTGGCCCCTGGAGTGTATTGATCCACATCTCTATCTGAATGCTGATGGTTCCATTGATCCAGAATCATTTAAACGTGCTGCTGCCCCTCGTGAAGGGTTTTGGGTCCGACGCCTGTCCACGTTATATCCTCGGGGCTTTAACAGCGTCCTCCCACAAGGGCGATTACCGCCAGTCAGACGATCTCGTCGTCCGAACAGGTGGATTTGTACGAGAGGCCGCCCGAATAGTCCTGCCACCCGCCCTGCAGTGCAAACTTCTGCTGATAGGCCCTTCACGATTGACACATGCCCCGGGTCCCTTCTTTGCTGTGCGCTCAGCCTTGCATCGCATGCTCACACAGGCAGCCAACTCAGAATGGGAATCCATTTCTCGTGCTCTCTCTCAAGCCAGCTCTGCCTGGCGCTCTCGCTTGTTGCAATGGTTGCTAACGAATGTCTCCAACTCTGAGCTCACATCGAACATTCGTCAACTGGAATGCATAATCCGTGGTCTGCAATATTCACGCCAACCGTATCTCAGCCCTGGACATAATGGGGCTCAATTTTTAAATTTTACTAAGGTTATGCACATGCATCAGGTTGCTCGCACCACACAACTACGAGGCGTCCTTCGGCTACCAGAGGTCGCCGAGTTACACCCACGACCTGCTCTTGCCAAGGAGATACGCATCTGTGATAAGATGGTGCCCCCCATTCATGTCCAATTTTGCAATTTTACAGAAGTGGCACTTACCATAACAAGCAATATGCCTCTTCCAGACCCTGCCAATTGTCTCTGCCGACAAGCGTTTCCACATTGTGCGGACATTGTTGATGGTCATGTAGCTACAGTGGACTACACTGTTATACAAGATACACACTTGCGGGCTCTCTTCTTTGAAGGCTCCAAGTACCGCCTCAATGCCAACAATACAGATGTGATGAAAGCATTGAAACTCGGCCTGGACGAGTATATTGCCAAGTTCATAGCAGCCATGAGATCAGCACACAACAATGAGTCTCTAATTCCCGACAGTCTCTCTCAGCTGCGCAGATGGCACACAACAATTCTTTCAAGATGCCAACGGAATCTATCTACGTCACAGTACCAAGCACCCACTCAAGCTGCCTCGCGTGCTGCTAATACATCTCTACGGCAGCTACAACAGCAATTTGCTATAGTGCCTGTTGATAAAACATCGCACAACATGGCAATCTGCTGCAAGCGCTGGTACGTGTATAAGTTATCACAACACCTTGATAGTCCTACCTACGATTCGACATCGGAATCTGTGGCCAGCATCCTTGACCACCATGCGCTTTTCAATCAGCGTTGGGGCTATCGACATACTGACACCCTGCCCTATCTCTACTTTGCACTTAAAGCACATAAATCCCCGCCTGGTCTTCGCCCAATTCTCGGTGTTACTCAACAAAACAACCTTTCTCGGTCTTCACTTCGCACAATGCCTCGCCAGTCTTCGGTCTCCAGTTTGCATAACAGACCCCCTCATAAGCCTCTTGCCAGTACAGCAATGGCCTCCCGCTCACTTAGCTATGCTCTCCAAGGCGTGATCAAGTCTCTGCGCAGTAAGGACAATGAGCTTTATCAAGAAGTAGGTGTACGACGCTGTTGGATCGTACAGAGTGCTGAGGAAGTCATCTTAGATCTCAAGCAAAATGCACCATCCCTTCGAGGCTGTACGCCCCATACGGCAGATTTCACAACCATGTACACTAACCTGCCACATGATAGGATTCTTAACAATGTCCTAAATGCGGCTCGTGAAGCACATGATTACGCCTTGTTGCGTATCTCGCAGGGAAGAAGGCCAGTACAAATGTACATGACTGTAGGAGGTCCGCATCGCGGGGAGTGGGTTTCTTCACATGGATCAGACACCCTTTCCGTGTCAAAGATAGAACAGCATCTGCGGTTTGCGGTGTCGAACGCTTGTCTCTACACAAGGGATGGCACTCTGCATCATCAGGTGGTAGGCATCCCTATGGGCACTAACGCTGGACCGGAAATTGCCAACCTTACGCTTTATTGGGACGAAGCACAGCTCATCGATGAATTACGACAGCAGGATCTACGCGCTGCGCAACCACATGCATTTACGTACCGATTCATTGATGACATCTTATCTTGGAAGACATTACCGCCCCCTCCTGCCCGATATGGTCTTGAGTGGAAGGACACTACTGAGCAAGATGGGTCGTGTGTTTTCCTTGGGGCAAGAATCCTGGTTCGGCCGGATGGCTCACTTCGCATCGGCGTCTTTGATAAGGCTGAGGCGTGGACATTCCCTGTCATACGCTACCCCAGCGCTTCCTCTAATGCCCCAGCTCATCAGCCTGCAGGTGTGCTCACAGGGCAGTTGACACGATTTGAACACATCTGCAACAATACTGCCGACTTTAAGGCTGCAGTGACTTCCCTCACACGACGAATGCTCATTAGAGGCCATCCCCCCAGTGTCCTGGCCAGAGGTTGGAATGCATACGTGCGCGGCCGGCAGCGCCGGTTACCCACTCATGTTACACGGCTTTCGAACTGGTTTCGGCGCATGGTACGCTGGGCAATTGCCCACCCACTCCCGAATGCAAATTCTGTTCGCAGGTCTTTCGCACAACCGCACGCAATAGGAAA